TTGTTATTTATTTTGCAGTACTCATATTCAATCATGCAGTTTATAAAAAAACACGTGATGAAAATTCTAACAATTATATTGGTGGAACCATAGATCACACATCTTGCATGTTAAGAAACTGAAATTCAGGATATGGTACTCTTCTCCTAAAAAGGATTAAACAGCATATAATGGAGATGAGTTTATTTGAGAGCTGCAAAATAGCTACCAATCCGAAGAGAAGGAAGTGATGAACAAATAGCCTGACCTAGTATAAGACTGTTTTCTGTAAATACCCCATTTCCCATCTAAATAAGGATATACGATTCATTCATTTTGATCCAAATAGCTGGTATATGAGCAATTGCTGCAGCCATATTTAGCAGAAAGAAGCAATACAGAATTGCCCAGCGTGCCTCTGGGATTTGTATCTTTGAAGGTTTGCCCTGCTGCAAATACTACAAGTGCAAGTTAATCCCCACCAGCCTGCTCTACTTCAAGGGAAATGGAGAGATATAAACAGAAGTTCTGTGAGCTTCCTATTTGGCTCTTAATGGTTGGAGAAGAATCTAGGACTCGGCTCCTTTGCAAAGTGGTCTCTTTTTTTTTTTTAGACAGAGAAAGAGAGAGAAGTTTAATTGAAGCCTGTGGTGTTGCATAAATAGAAGATCTAAGTTTTAATTGAAAAATAATTATAACCACTTAATCATTTTAAATGAGGACCGTAATTGCAGTCAGTTCATAATAGCCAAATACAGACACTTAGATTCCTGCAATAAAGCAGGGATGGTACAGCTTGATTTGCTAATAGCACTTCCACTTCTCTTTCCTTTTGTCTCAAAGATTAATTTAGGCAAGGGCTATTAGTGCTGTTAATTGGTTCTGCAATTTAGACCTTGTGCCTGTGAATGAGTGACTGATGCTGTTCTATCACACAATAATGTGAACACTCTGTCAGTGTTCCTCCTTGTCCGGTTGGCTATTACTTCTCTAGCAACTCTTCTGTCCCTCCTACCTGCATTTTATCCCTACCTGAATCAGAAGGGATGCAGTTCTGGGAATTCTATAAGCTTCAGATAGTTCACCAAGATGTCTTGGAAGTTGCAGCTGATTTGTAAAAAACAACAACAACACAGCAAGACATTCCTTTCCAGTGAACACATATCATCAGTATAGATCAGCAATGGCTAACCTTTTCTGGTCCGAGTGCCCAAAGTGTATGTGTGCATGCGCAAATGTGCCCACAATCTCCCAAAAGGCAATGTTTGTGTGCTTCCGCCACGTGCCCTACTCCCAACGTATGTGTACATGGGCCCCTGCATGCACCCTGTGCATGCGCAGCAGAGACCTGAAGACCAGCTGGCTGGCGGGAGGCATTGTGTGCATACGCGGCCGGGCTAAGCTGAGGCAATGGCTCACGTGCCCACAGAGAGGGTGCTGCATGCCACCTCTAGCATGCGTGCCATAAGTTTGCAATCATAAGTTTAGATAGAAACCTCTGTTCCCATAAGAAAAAGAAGAAATTACAAAGGCTTCTATTCCTTTGTCCACCCTCACCCAGCATGTGTATTCAGGTACATTGATTCAAGCCAGCAGAGTAACAGGCATGCCATTTTTTTTCTCCAGATGTTTCAAGTCATGTCAAGGAAGGAAGGAAGGAAGGAAGGAAGGAAGGAAGGAAGGAAGGAAGGAAGGAAGGAAGGAAGG